TACGGAAATGAATTTCTCATAAATATTCCATATGCAAAAATTATATAAAAAAAAAGTGATGAATAAAGATTTTGAAAAGCATAAATTGACATAAGCTCTATGTGAATGAAATTGATTATTTTTTAATAAAACAAAGTCATAAATTCAAGATTCTAGATTTTGCAATTATAATGAAATAATACACAATTATTGTATGAAACAACAGATACAAAGTGTTTCGCAGGCATTAATATTCTGTGCCATAATTGCAAAAGTTGATTGTTACATTTTACATAACAACTTCATACATAAAATCGTTCACATCTGTAGCAGACTAGTGAGATTATATCTTTGTTTGATGTTCTCTGAAGAACCTTATAAGGTAACTAGCCATAGTAAAAATCACGTTTAAAAATCTCGATTAAGTGTTTCTAATACTCGTAAAACAAAGTATCTAGCAAATATGTTGTTGAAGTTGCCGAATCAATTTGGAATTCTGATTGTTAATATTGACAAGTTGAAGATGCGAATTGAAAGCAAACGAATGATTATATCATCTGAGGAGGTGTTGAAGTCTTCCAACACCGAATGACACGAGTTTGGAGCATACTTAGCAGAAAATTGGCAAGCACTCGAAGTAAATAATTAAAATATTTCTGCTTTGTTAATATTGATGAGTTTTAGTCATTTGAGTACCGCAAAAGAGAAGATTAAACTTCGTTTGTCAATACTGCTATAACGTAATTTAAATTTATTAATTTTTTTTGATTTTGAAGTACAAATAAATTTTAATCAAAGTATAACATGTCATAGAGATCTTGTGTAGGTGCTGATTTATGTTCTCAGAGTCGAAACTTGTTCAGTTGCTTTCCAAAATTTTAGCGAAAAAATTCCATAAATTAAATAAAATTTTGGAAGAATTTCATGCATGAAAGTTGTTTTGTTTATGAATTGCCTTCTGAGTTATTGGTTTAGAAGTATTTCTACTTAGAATTTCATAGATATTTTTTTTTTGTATATTAAATAGCTTTTATATTTGCTTTAAGACACAAAAATAGTTTGCGTTAATCGCCTTAACTCGGTTTCTGATAAAATTTGAATATTTATTAGGTTTCATCTTATTAGTTAAGTTCTTCCTTGTTTTGCATTTTTAGTTTGATTTTACCGAACTCGATTTTGTTTAAATAAACATTTAAATGGATTTCAATATATTTTATTAGTTGTCATTAAACCCTTTCAAAATATTTAAATATAGATTTGTCATTTTACTTTTAATTGATGGAGGCGCAGATTTTTTTGCGATAAAATAAACATAAAATTCAAAAAATAATTAAGTGAATTAAAATTAAATTAATTATATTTTATACAGCAATTTAATTAATTAAGTAATTTTCATAGAAGTAGTTAATTTATATATACAAGTTTTAAAAAAATTTAGAATCCATAAATTAATTTCGTAATTCAATGCGAAAAACTTGTTGATATTTTAAGGTGTTCTTTTTTTTTTTTTTTAATAAAAGTGTGTATCTTTAAAACGCGTAACGAATTTATAGCACTATGTGACCGGAATAAATTAGTTTTATTAGGCCGAAATAGAAGATATTTGAACATTGGTCTGCCTATAAGAGAAGAAATAACCAAAATACATAAAATTGTCACGAAGTAACAACAGATAACAATCACGAAGAATAAACATGAAAAAACATTGTATCGAGAGGATTAAGAACAGCAACTTCCTAGGTCATCACCGACAACGGCCATAAACAGAATATCCAACACCTCATTAAAGTAACAAATAAGACATATTCTTTTCATATAAAAATATTTTATTTTCAACTTATATAGTGAAATCATGAATTGAACCTCTACATAATGGTACTAAAGACGATTGTAACCTATGGGTTTAAAAGATAGTGACAGTTTTTATTGATATAGATAGCTGTGAATATTTGAGAGTAAGATCGCACATGGAACTTTTAGCACAAATATTAAAAGATATAGAAATGACAAGACAGAAAACCAATGTTCCCAAAACTGGAAACGCCTGGGTGCGTTAGTCTTGTAGCAGGAGGTACTATCTCAATATGTGGAGCAGCGATCGATCCGTTTGCATGAGCGCGGGAAGATGTTTTGAGTAACTGACAATGTACTGAGGGAATGGGTTTGTATCGACCGAAGTGGATATGGGCCCGTGAAGATGACGGAGCTGCAGCTTGCTAGCTGGCGATTGAAGTTCAGGTCTTCAAAAGTATAAACAAATTACTTGATGAAAGTAGCTTGACACCTAAAAGAATGTTGATGTAAAATCAAGCGTGTATTAAAGTTCATAAATAACTGAAAGTTTCCATTATTGCCTATATTAATTGCATTAATAATGTCTGACATCACAAAAATCTATCAATAGAGATTTTCAACCACATTTAATACCACAATTAATGAGATTTTTTTATGGAAAGATAGTAGTACCACTTCCCCTAAAACATATTTTTCATTTTACTGGTTTTTGAATATTTCTTTCAATGAGTTATACTGTGATATAGCAATAAATTTTCGATCAAAAACATTTATCCGGATTATATCATATTTTCATGATTTGCTTTAAGATTGTATTGGTTTATAATACCTGCTTCCTAAACAAAACTCTATTAAATTAGATTAGGATTGGGCTATCAGCAGTTCCACTCGAATATATTTATTAGTCATATTGATCACCACAATGTTTTTTTTGAGAGTGTGAGTTACACATACTGTTGTTATCATTTGGTATTGTCGTTGTCAAGCAATTTGGTCTTCTAGATAAAGCTGGATAAATCCGACAACTCTAATTTCTTTATCGCTGTCTGTCAGTCCAACGACGAAACGGTTTCAGCTGTACTGTCGGAAAAGCACATAGAAAGATTATTGGATTCTGTTTTATTTTTATCGTAGCAACTTCCACATAGTCTATTTGTCCAAATACGCCACCATAGAAGTATCGATAGAATGACGAAATGCCCCTATACTACTTACAATAAGTACACGAAATGCAGGTTTGTTGAAGATAAATAAGCTCTTCGTTTTATTCACGTTCAACTCGGCCATAAGTTTATGGCAAATTCACCATATATGTGATTAGTCTTTTGTGCTCCTAACCAATTCACAAAAGCCAAAACTACGTTAGTTTAGTATCTTGGATATAATATGTATCTATTATTAAGTTCAGTTTAGCTATTTTGGAAGAAAATAAACTTCATTATACATCAGCTTGAATAACGCTATGTCTTAAGTATGTTGATTTCTCATGATAAATAAAACAGAGCAATGAGTGAATTGTTTTACCATTTTCTCAAAAAACTACATTTGTCAAATAATATTTTTGAAATAACATTTTAATTAAAAAATTGTTTAGAGTATCTTCCAAAAGCCTAAAAAAAGTTCATCAATAAATGTTTGACACCTAAAGCATCATCAACTCTATGAATTTAATCAATTTTATTCGAAAATTGATTAAATTTCTTACAGTGTTTTGTAAATCATAAAAATAAAATGATTTATGATGAAACTTTGGTGCCGAATTCTTTAGTTTGGATTTAAGTGGTTGATAACAGTTAACAAATATTTGATTTCAATTTTATTTCTTGAAGATTTTCAATTAATTGACATTTTACAAGCGAAATCTTACGCCAACTTGTTGCTCTTGACATATATTTTTTAGTTTAAGTATTTGTATTTCTTCGCAGCTTACAGTAAACTTCCGCATAATTTATTAAATAAAACTGCAGTAAATAAAAATTTGAAATTTCCTAATAAAAATTCTAATAAAAAAATGTGGAAAATGTTACTGCAAAACCATTAGAAACTTGTATTTAATTTACTTAATTAACTAGTTGCAAAATTTTCCTCATCAAATTTTATGTCAAAATTAAGACAAATTAAAAATAGGCTTAGATACAAACTGTAAACATTATAAAATTTAAAATTAATAAAATTGGATTTAGAAATATTTTTCAAACTAATTTATTACTCACTATATTTTTTATATATCATACTTGATTCATTCTATTTTTTGTTCAGTAAAAGATATGTAAGAGAATTCATGCTATACCATGTTATACAATTTTACTCAATCTTATTTATATTATATTATATCGTTCATACTTTTTCAAGCATTTACATAAAAGTACATATATTAATTAAGTATTATTATATAATAATTAATCGAATATAGTAAATAGTATGTTACCCGCAAGCATTGTACTGTCATCGAATACCAATTTACCCAAAATATTTCAAAGTTCATTGAATTGTTTCTCTGTTCTCTTCAGACACACCTCATAGCAATGAACCTGACCTATTTAATATTACGAAAAGCTATGAAACTTTTTGAATATGGGTTTTTTGTTAAACGTAAAACTCAATCCGGCGCCAAATATTTTAAAAATGAAACAAAATGCTTGACTCACTAACAGAATTAATTATAGTTCCTTGTGCAGATCATTAATTATGAAGCAGACATTGATTAAAGGCAAATATAATATATGTGCATAAATTGAAAACCATATAGAAAAGTCATGAAGCACATTTAAACTTTTATTTTGAAATGTGTTGAAATAAAATTCACAACGTATCATTAAAATGTCATGAAATTTTGACAGTACTTCAACAAAGAATATACTTTTCTGACTTATTTAATTCTCCGTAGATGGCCTCATAACAAAAACTTCATTCATAACAGTTATATATACTTTACAGTCGAACTTATAAAATATATAAAACAAATTATTATTTAGTATAAAACATTGATATAAAAAAATTTATTTATATATTTAAATAATGGTTTAAAACTCTAATCGATTAAATTTTGTTCTGATGCATATTAATAAGAAATATTTAAATATTTAAGTAAATAAAGAAAATTCCAAAAAATTGAGTAAAATTCATTAGATTATAAATTATAAATTAAAAAACATTAAGTCCAATAAAGCAAACTTAAATACGTAATTGGATTTTATTGAATTAATGTTCTTTTCTTTTCTTTACAGAAGTTGTATATACTCAGCTTTGTGCTGACAGCATTATTAGCGCTTACAACAGCGCAATATTATGATGATGTCTCCCAGCACCTTGGTTATGATTATCCAAAACCAGTTGTAAAATTCCCACCACCGCCGCCACCACCGCAACCAACTAAAGGATACTCCTATCCAACACCAGTAATTCCATTCCCACCACCAACGAAGCCACAAATCAAATATATACCACCACCAACGCAACCGAAAATAAAATATATACCACCGCCACCGCAACCAACTTTACCACCACCACCTAAGTACATACCACCGCCAGCACCACAACCAACTAAGGGTTATTCTTATCCAGTACCAGAAATTCCATTCCCACCACCAACGCAACCAAAATATGTGCCTCCACCACCACCACCACCACCACCAACAAGGTATATACCACCAGCACCAAAACCAACTCCACCAACACCTAAATATATACCACCTCCAGCACCTCAGCCAACTAAAGGTTATTCCTATCCAGTACCAGAAATTCCATTCCCACCACCAACACAACCGAAATATGTACCACCACCACAACCTATAATACCACCAACTCCAAAGTATATACCACCACCGCCACCAAAACCAACTTTACCACCACCACCTAAGTACATACCACCTCCAGCACCTCAACCTACTAAGGGTTATTCTTATCCAGTACCAGAAATTCCATTCCCTCCTCCAACTAAAAAATATATACCACCACCACCAAAACCAACCCTGCCACCACCACCTAAGTATATACCACCTCCAGCACCTCAACCAACTAAAGGTTATTCCTATCCAGTACCAGAAATTCCATTCCCACCACCAACACAACCAAGATATGTTCCTCCACCACAACCTATAATACCACCAACTCCAAAATATATACCACCACCGCCACCAAAACCAACTTTACCACCACCACCTAAATATATACCACCTCCAGCACCTCAACCTACAAAGGGTTATTCCTATCCAGTACCAGAAATTAAATTCCCACCACCAACGCAACCAAAATATGTGCCTCCACCACCACCACCAACCAGGTATATACCACCAGCACCAAAACCAACTCCACCAACACCTAAATATATACCACCTCCAGCACCTCAGCCAACTAAAGGTTATTCCTATCCAGTACCAGAAATTCCATTCCCACCACCAACACAACCGAAATATGTCCCTCCACCACAACCTATAATACCTCCAACTAAAAAATATATACCACCACCACCGAAACCAACTTTACCTCCTCCTCCTAAGTACATACCACCTCCAGCACCTCAACCTACTAAGGGTTATTCTTATCCCGTACCAGAAATTCCATTCCCACCACCAACACAACCAAGATATGTTCCTCCACCACAACCTATAATACCACCAACTCCAAAATATATACCACCACCGCCACCAAAACCAACTTTACCACCACCACCTAAATATATACCACCTCCAGCACCCCAACCTACCAAGGGTTATTCGTATCCAAAACCAGAAATTCCATTCCCCCCACCACTGCCAAAAGACAGCGGGTACTCATACCCACGACCGGCGATAGGATTTTACTATTAAGCACTTGAATTGTAAATTGTTCGATTTTTGTTTAGCGTTTAGTGATTTTCTTATTAAAGAAAAAGCTACGAGAAAATTTAATTTAAAATTTAGATTTAAAGCTGTACCTGGGCTTGGCCCAATAACGAAAATTAGTCATTGTATATTAAAGAATATGAAAGGCATAAAATTACGAAAAGCTGTATTTAATGTTAATTTATCTGTTTTGTGTTCTAATATTTTTAATTAAGCCGAAATACTCATACTTTTTATTTAATAATTTTTATTATTTTATTTGACAAAGTGTTAAATTTTTTACGAAATATTTATAAACAAATAAAAAAATATATAAAAAAATATTGCTAATTAATTTATTAAATTGACTTTGAAATGCGTAAGTGTTAATTTTTTTCTTCTAGAACTTATTTCTAGATCATATATTACTTGTAGTAACGGCGCCGATTCTGAATGGAATGGGTTAGTATGAAAACGAGTACAATATCATGGAAAATAAAAGGAAGGAATAAATGCTAATATTCTTAGCTAACTACTTTTCCATCTACAAGAGGAACACCAAAATTTATTTAATTATTTTGAAAAAATTCTGAAGATTGAAGATTCAATTATCGGGCAAGGGTTCACAAAATATTTTAAATACAACAGCGCTATATACTCGTTTTTATTAACTTCTTTGAATATATGTATAAGGTTGTATATATAATACATAATTTTTTTTATATGTATAGTACAAATATTAAATAAATAAAGAAGTTCTTAACATCACTTACTTCAGTACTGAAAATGTTTATAAATTTCCAGATTTAAAATAGTTGATATCAATTACAGAGAGAACCTATCTGAAATACATACATACATTAATATAAATAAACTGTAAACTGCTAGTTTTCAGAAGTCCCAGCTAACATTAGTAAAAACTGGCAAGATAATACAAAGAAATGTTTCGTTATGCTTAGAAATCGCTACAGAAAACCCGTCTTTTAAAATTTTTAGAACTAAAAATAAAATACAGCCAGCTAATTGCACTAAAAAAAATATCTACAGAAAAACTTTAAATAAATTTTTTAAAATTAAATTTAAAACAATGTTAGCTAGTTTTACTAAAAACATGAAAAACAATTATATAGAAAAAACTTGTCTAGAGAGAACTTTAGTTTAAACATTTTCAATGCTAAAAAAGGATAGAATAAAGATACTATCTATAATATAAAACAAATAAAACAAGTACTCACTGATATTTTGGCTTGGAAATAGTTTTTCAATTACATCAATTTTTGTTAGCTTCAGAGTTAAGATATATTTTTATAGAGGATCATCAATTTTTATGGACTATTAAAGTTTAAACTAAAATATATCCTCTTCATAAAAGAATATAATACAATATATAATTTTCACATTATTTAACTGTAGTGGTGTGGTAACTAATAATTACAATAACTGTTAGTTTAAATAGTTTCTATTAAATCCTGTGAAATGAAGTCGAAACTTATGGGATCTATTAAAAACTACGTATTTGTAATTATTTATAATAGGTATTAAATATCAAGGAATCTAAAAGTATACTATCTAACTCACCAACGCATATAGTTCCCAATAGACGGCCTTAGTTCAAAGTCCTGTTTGCTTTCAAATGGTCTATATGTATATGTTAGGTTTCTCTCGAAGCTGGACGAGTTTCTATTGACGCACTCAGTAGTAGATGCAGATATAAACTAAAAATATATTTGACAAATTAATACACATAGATATTATTAAATTGACTGGTAAATATTAAAGATAGTTGTGTACATATGTATACTGCACAAAAGTGTCATTTTTATTTTTACTATTTTCAATATGATCATTGCATATAGATGAGTTAAAACAGTTTTCAAGGAGTTAATTATAACAATATATACAACCAATATATATACAACTTTGTAATTATGTTATATTTCACAAGTGGTCTTTGTCGATAGAAAGAAATAAAATAAAGATAAAGGAATACAAAACACTTATATATACATAATATTTGCAATATTGTAAAATAGATTATTATTAGGAAAAGGGATAGTACACTGCGAATGTAAAAGATTTTTGTGACCCTTGGTCGAATTAAAATTTATCTCCAAGTCCGATATTTTCAATGAAAGACAGTATTGAGCCTATCTTTCTTAGCCTTCAATTAAAGGTTTTAATATATTTTTTTCGTAAATGACTTGACCGTGTTATATATACTTGCATATATAATAGGATATTTCATAAGCCCATTTACTGTTGTACTGAAAATCACAATAAACAGTTGTTTTATATAACTTGGCAAAATTTATGTTAGTGCTATAAATGTATTCACGAACATCCGCTCCAAAAAGCTTACAAAGATTAAGAGACATAAGGCTTATAAGAGTTATAAGCTTATAAGGGATATAGTGCTTATAAAGGTTATAGTGCTTATAAGGGTTATACGGTTTATAAGGAATATAAAGCTTGTAAGGCTTATATGGGTTATAAAGTTAATTAGGCTATTATGGGTTATAAAGGATATAAGAATTTATACTCATAGAGAGAGTATGT